TGTGATAAAACACGTACAGAAGTTCTTGGCGCATTTTCCATTATTTGTTGGACATTTTCTTTTAATTCTTCAGTCCGCTTTTTAGGTCGGCCGCTTCCTTCTTTTCTTGTTACACTGCCCGTTTCACGAAAAACATTAACACAACGCTGAACTGCACTTTGAAAAATTTTGTACTCAACAACGCCGGGAAATTGATTTTGAAATTCTATGAAACATTCCTCAATAGAATACTTCCATATTCCATCAATCTTGCGTCCATTTCTAAAGTAGGACTCTATGATAAACACTTTTTGTTCTTGAGAAAACACCATTTTAAACGCTTTTTAAAACGAAAATATTCAAATTGATAGCGGCGATATAGCGCTTTGACAGACGACGTTTAAGTTCATTTGCTATACGCTACGCCCTACGTCCAAATTTTCAGAACCAACTTGACCACGTTTTTATTTGAACGCTCGTTGTAACCAAGGAATATTTGAAATATTACTCTCTGTTTTTGAGTAAAAGTATGGTGTCTTTCGGTACCTACGAAGTTTTGAAAATAGTAAATTATTGCTATTATAAACCTTTTTTTCAAAATAGGGAGGTTATGGCCTATTAGAGACGTACCTTATATGCTTACACCTTATACATAATAATGACATAAAAAAATACTGAAAACGTTGATTTTAACAATAAAACATTTCTTAAATATAATCATGTTCTTTATTTGTTTGCCAACACAATTGATAATAATTAGAAATACATATCGGTACTTCCATTTTGATTAACTTATTAGGTACCACTGTATATTTATGTTTAAATGATTTTATTTTTTGTAGAGTTATTTACAATTAAATTTTACTATTTTGAAACTAACAGCTGTTTTGTTAATTTTAATCGTGACCTTATTTACACATATCGTGTACTTTTTTACAATTCTGGAAATATAAATTCCTTGCAAGAAAAAATGCACTAATTTCATCAAATTGGTAGTGATAATTACTGATAATGCCACATAATTACAGTAGGTAAGTCACTACTGGAATGTTAATCTTCACAAATGTCGTATGGAAGTATAAAAATATTTCAAACCGTGCAGAACTGCAGACCATCGGAAGTTTCATAGTGGTTAAGTTAATGTTTTTGTTTCGAAAATGCTTTGTGGTGTAATGTTAAAATTTGTAAGTTTTCATAGATTTAGTTAAAGATCAAACTAATTTCAGTTACATAAAATTTTTCTATTCAGTTGTTTAAAAGAATTAGAATTTGAATTGGCAGTTCTCATAAATGTTGTAAAACTGATTTTTTTTTAATAACGCTGAGCCCAAATTTCGTTTACACTTACATCCTTAAATATTCAATTTTAAGCCGTTTGAAACGAGATACAACACGCCATGTTTGTATTAAGGAAGAAATATGTTTAAGGTAAAGTACCTACTCAATGATCAAACGAGAAATTGGCCTCATAGAGCGTTATCCTTTGCTTTTTCATCCGGGTATAAAAAGAAATAAAGTGAGGTACCTAATAACATTGCATTGTAGACTAACCGTTTCCATTTTAAAGGAAATTATTTTTTCGTTTCTACGAAATAAATCATTTTTGTCCAGGAGTTGCAGTTTTGTAGATGTTTTACAAGTTGGTTTTTAGTGAAATTGACATAATTAGGGATTACATTTTATTAGTCCCTTGTGAAATAAAATAATTATAGTTTAAATAAAAAGAACATCAAACAATTAACTATTGATTATTATTATTTATATTAAAATGACAAGTTTCCACTACCAAAACTAACACAAAGGGGCTTCTTTTTTTTAAACATCGTTCTATTGATATTTGTTACTGCAACCGTAAAATAAATAGTAGAACAGATAGTGTCAGCAGTAACCGTAAAACAAGCAGTAGCAGAGGCAGCGTCATCATTGTTGTTATTCAAAATTTTCTTCCTAAATTTGATTTGTTTTATTTTTATCTTCGATATATCTTTCAGTGGGTAACTTTTTCGCTTTCCCGATCTCCAAAACGTTTCAAAGTAGCGCCACAATCTTCTAAGCAACTAGTTTCCAATCTACGAAATACGAATCTGGATTTTTATTTCCAGGAATCTAACAATAGTTGTAATGCCTAGAGGCTGAACGATATATTTTGTTTGTCAGTAGTTGAAAGATAGTCTGCTGGTTGTTGTTTTCTGCGGACACAAATTTGGGTATTTTTGATACAGCTTTATTTGGGCTAATGCCAAAGCCATCCCACAAAATCGTAAACGACCACTCCTTGTGAGTTTTTATGAATGGAAGATGAACCAGTAGAATCTCATTTTTTTTCTTCTATATATGCTCTATGCACGTTTTCACTAGTTCGTCACATCTGCATCTATCAGCAACATCAAAAACAGCAACTACCTTCAAACAAACAAACATAAAACTAAAATATGCTGCGCCCACATAGTCAAAGACATGTATTTTCCTAACTAAATGATTGCAACTTATTAAGGTATTAACAATAATTTAATAACCAACAGTTTGTAAAAAAATACGCCAAAAAAACTTAGTCCAAGTTTTGAATAACGAATATTTTTTTTTTTAAACATAAAACACACCACAGAAATGAGACAACCCCCAAATCCAAATGCCAAAGGCTTGTGCGGAAGGGGGCCACACTTGAAAAAACGCGGACAAACACCCATTATCCATCGACATTGCCAGTGCCGACACCGGGGATCGAACCCGGACCAGAGTAGGAAGCCTAGCCGAGAAATGCTTGCCACCGCACTCTCGACCGACTGCGCTACCGTGGCGATCTATTGTTATAAACTTTATATTTTGGCAGAAGTAATTCCAAAGATGCAGTTTCGGTTTCTAGTTGAATATTTTCTATATATTTTGACAATCAAGCTATATATGATAATAAGATGCGGCTTCCACCTTTCTCTTAATCATGAAATAGCCTATCTTCTTTCAACTTCGCTCAATTTCTCTAGTGTTTGGTTCTAAGCAGTTCCCATAGCATCGCGGTCTTTTCAGGCCTATTGTGCGTCCCATTAGTCAGTCATATTCAGCAAGTAGTTTTGTCCTTTTTACACAGTTCAAAAGCTTCCTTGACGGCACTTCTTTCAGCTCCTTGGGTTCCAAACAGGGTTTTCCTAGGAGCGTCATTCTACTACATGCAAAACATGGGTACTCGCCCAGGATATGCAAAGAGGTTTCATCCGCCGATTGACATCATCGGCAGACCGGACTGTTTAGCTTGTATAGATGTTGCCTAAAGTAACAGTGTCCCGTTTTATAATACCTGTCACTTTCCTGAGCCAAATTTTATTGAAGCTCAGCAACTGATCCGTTCTTTTCTTCAAAGGATAATCCATGAGTTCTTTCACATGGCTTTGCCCTGGCCTTGAAGCCCAGTATCTCTTATCTTCTTTACTTTAACACATTTCAAATAGAGACATAGTAATTACGGACCTTAGTTTTAGAATTTTCAATCACGGCATGCGACGTCTTGATTTTTTTAATGGTGGCCTATGTTAAATATAGGTAAATGCAAAATTGTATCTATTTTGATTTTATTGTTATGATGGTATTTATTGCTTATAATTTATGACATATTCGCTGTTTTTCATGTTTTGTTTGGTGAGATCATGAATCTATCCAAAAGAGATGCACTCAGGGAGGAGTTTTATTTCCTTCTGTACTGTAGGATTTGGTTATGGGTGAACTCCTTGAAGTATACAAAGATTTTATGCCCAAGTATATGCAAATGGAAATTGTGAAGAAAAGAGATCCTGAGGACAAACTTGGAAAAAACTAAATTCATATTTTTCACACAAAAAAAAAGGAAACTTGGTGGCTTAAAGATTTGCCTCTTCGGTATAAATCGGCAGGGATTCCAGAATCGGGGTTCCAGATGCCAAAATACAAAAACCTTAAACATGAGAAAATAATTATGCGTAGTAGCTTTGGTACGACATTTGATACGACTCTCTAATCTAATGACCAACGACAAATGAAGAAATGTCACAGCTGGAGCTATCCGAATTCCTGCCTTTGCATTGCGGGTGCTATATTAGCAACTGCATCCAAGAAAAATATTCTGAATCTTCACATTTAGACTTCTTTTTTAAAGTGGAAGTAAAAATGGAAGCATATAGACTGAAATGTAATGACTGATGTATGGAATAATGTTCTAAGAACACTCCAATATAACAAGAATAATCACAAGTTCTCAACTCAAACATGTCACTTGCTTATTTCACTCACTTGTATATATATATATGGAATAAATTCAGTAAAGACGAAACCAATTTTTGTTGGGAAAAATCCTCGAACAGGTCGATTTTTAATTTAAAAAATACATATCTTAGCATAAAAGGCGATTTTCAACCATCATTTGTTTTCGAGTAATGACGTCATCGACATTTTTTTAAATAGCAACCCCCTATTTTTTTTCTTGATTCTGAAAGATCGTTTCATTGTCGATCCGACTGTATTAAAATATTGCCATCTTACATAGGAAAGTTTTCGAGTAAATGACGATTGAATATGAGAAAACCTAAATCAATTAAAATAAAGCAAAAACGTTGTCAAATTTAGTTTTTCGAAATGCCTGAAGTTTTTTATGGATCACGTAGGTGTAAATCTTTACAAAGTGTTATTGTCATACCGACTTTCTAAGTATTGTAAGCGATATAAAACTTATTGTTGAGTTTAAAGTATTATGACACATTTAACTGTCACACAAAGAATTGAAATTTTAATTCTTATCGGATGCGGGGATACGACTAGAACGCAGCAGGCAGTTTGCGATTTATTTAATGAAAAACATCCAGATTGCCGTATCAGCCAATCAACAGTCAGTAAGATCGAATCTTAATTTGGAGAAACTGGCAATGTTGTAGATATTCCAAAACCTGGACGTCCAAGCGTTAGTGAAGATCACAAACATAACATTTTGATAGGTATGGTAGATAATCCTCATAATACTTCATGATTGGTTGCATTAAACAGTGAAATTAGTCAGACCACAGTACTACGTATCCTGAGGCAGGAAAATATTATCCCTACAAAATTCAACTTGTGCAGGAACTCAATGAAGATGATCCCGACTGCCGGCGCCGCTTACACTTTTGTGAAATTATGATGGATTTATGTCAAGTGAATAGAGATTTACACAGGCAAATATTTTTTCAGACGAGGCCACGTTTTGTCTCAATGGTACAGTGAACCGTCACACTTGCAGGTATTGGAGTAGGGAAAATCCTCATTGGATAACAGAGACACATACCCAACACCCACAGAAATTAAATGTGTGGGCTGGAATAGTTGACAACAGAATAGTAGGGCCTTTCTTCTTTGAAGGAACCCTTACAGGAGAAAGATATTTAGAGTTTTTACAAAATGACCTTGTTCCAGCGCTTGCAGTAATTTTTCCTAACGATAATGACCCTGATATTCCTGATGACACCATATGGTTTCAGCAAGACGGTGTACCTCCGCGCTATGCGCGCCCTGTTCGAGATTTTCTGGACAATTGCTTTCCTAGAAGGTGGATCGGCAAACGAGGACCGATGGAATGGCCCGCGAGATCCCCAGATCTTACACCCCTGGACTATTTCTTATGGGGCTACTTAAAGTCCAAAGTGTACGTTAATAGACTATATAATTTAGAAGAACCCCAAAATTGTATTATAGATGAAATACACAGAGTTACCCCAGAAATAATTCATAATGTGCAAGTAGAATTTCTACACAGACTTGCGTATTGTCAAGAAGTCGGTGGGTGGCAATTTGAACACTTAATTTAGGTAGAAAACTTAATGTTGTTGCTTGACACAGGAATTGTTATTTTTTTAATGATGAAATTTACGTTTTCTAACATTCAATCGTCATTTACTCGAAAATTTTCCTATGTAAGATGGCAACATTTTAGTACTGTCGGATCGACAATGAAACAATCTTTCACAACCAAGAAAAAAAATAGGGGTTGCTATTTAAAAAAATTTTCGATGACGTCATTACTCGAAAACAAATGACGGTTGAAAATCGCCTTTTATGTTAAAATATGTATTTTTTAAATTAAAAATCGGCCTAATCGAGGATTTTCCTCAAAAAAAATTTGTTTCGTTTTTACTGAATTTATTCCATACTTTAGGCTTAGGTTTTTTTCTCTTTTAGGATTTGTACTCGTTATTTGAAACTTAATACAACTCTCTCTGTTCAATATAAGTTCTAACTCACAAATCTTATCCTTTCTAAAAGTTACCTCAAATAGTTATGATGTTATTGACTTTATATTTTTGGTGAAATTAACTTAAGGAATTTGTTAATATTTTTCTTTCTCATAGTCAATATCGCCGGATGATTTAATTAAAAAAATCATAAAAATACATATTCAATTCATTATTTTATACGCTTGATACCCGTATCATTTAATCAAATTATGTTTCAGATCACTGTTTTAACCTTATTGCTGTTGGCAGATGCCAACCCCACAATTAAAAAATTATTGGGTGGCAAAAGTGATGGTGGTGGTGGAAGTGGAGGAGGAGGTGGAGGAGGCCAGCCGGTAGTTGTCGTGCCTATATCCGTTCAACCTCAGCCAGTTCCTCAACCTCAGCCAGCTCATCAACCAGTTCAGCAATCCTCGGGGGGTAAAAAAGCAGGTGGAGGAGTATTAGTAGTTGGTGGTGCTTTCGGAATTAGCGAAGGCGGCGGACATGAAGGAGGAAAGAAGAAGGGATGAGGAACATACAGTATAACAAAAATGTTGATTCTTTCTCTTTAGTATTAAATCTAGTTTAATATGTAGTAGAATAATGTTAACTGCATAGAATATATGTGTAGATACCAAAATTATATACGTTTCTTTGCAAATAGTTGTTTAATGTGAAGTATTTTGCATTAAAGTTTCGATTATTAATTTGAAATTTAGTTGTAATTTCTCTAAATATTAATTAAACATTTTTGGTATTTCAACAAAATGTTAGCAAGTGGGGAAATAAATAATAAATTCTTAATATTTTATATGTCTACCTATCTATATCTTCACTTTTTGCGACATAATTTATTCTCTCATTTGATAAAATATCAGCACGGCCTTTAAACATTAACCCGGGCGATAAAAAACTTAAAACCACTAATATACAGGGTGCTTAAATTTGATCAAGAAAATCCTTGACAAATTTTAGTGCGGCCGTATGATTTCTTTTAATATACGAAGTCTGTTCAGAAAATAACCGATTTTTATTTTTTTTTAAACATTATCATAAATTTTATACATTATTTGTCCTTGTCTCCTTCAAAGTATTCCCCCTCACCTATTCACACACTTTTCCCAGTGGTGTTTCTATTTCGCGAAGCAGTCCTGGGTAGCTTAATTTGAAATGTCCTTTAAAGTCTGTGACGAATTTGCTTTAATGTCATCAATAGTCTGAAAACGGCGTCTTTTAAGCACTGATTTTAATTTCGGAAATAAGAAACAATCGCAAGGAGTCAGATTTGCTGAGTAAAAAAGGTGAGGAAGAACAGTAATCTGATTTTAGGCACAAAACTGACGAATTAACAAAGCTGAGTGTGCGGGCGCGTTGTCAGGATGCAAGGATCATTAGTCGTCTCGCCACAACTTTGGTATCTTTTTATGGATTTCGTCATCCATTATAATCCTTTGAATGAATGTTTCATCGTCATTAGATTGTTAAGGACAAACGTCCGCTCAATTTTCTTTCTGTTGTTCGATCTTCACATGAGGAACAAATTTTATTGAACCTCGATATGAGTTCAATTTTTCAGTCAAAATTTCATTGCACGATGCAATTGAGATGCAACTTCATTTCTCTGACAGTCAATCGGCGATTTGCACGCACCAAATCTTTGACTTTCTGAGCGTGGGGGCCATCAGTTGAAGTCGAAGGCCTTCCTGGTCGAGGATCAGAGCATCATCTCCATAAGTTTGTTTCAAAACGTAAACAGTGGAAGATTTCCTCAGTTTCACGCAATATTTTACATTGGATCGTTGTTCCAGAAAATAGTACATTTCAAAAATCGCCATTAACACTTAAACACGTTGTACTCAAATAACAATATCAGGAAAACTAAATTAGCCCATTCAGGACTATTGCCTTACCCGTACGTTCTGTAACACCCGCTTTTCATGGACGGCTACCGTACAAGTACGCAAATAACTGCTACAGATGTCAACAGTTGCCGTACAAAAGACCCTGAAATTTTGACTTGCGCAGCCGGGAGCCGCACATGTACGACGATGCTACCCCAAGTAACATACGTGTGACGTTACTGTACGTCGAGAAAAAGTTCTTTGGAAAACATGTGCCGTACCCGTACGTCCGCATTTCCAAGACTGTAGCCGTACTCGTACGGCAGCTTCTAATTTCAATTATTTGGTGTTTTTGTATAAAAATAAGAACTTTTTTCTTAAGAATATTTATTTCAAGGATAAAATATAACAAAATAATATAATAAAACAAAACTTTATATTCTGACAACAACAAAACTATATTTCTACGGGTCGGAAATAAGTGAATTTCAATCAGTATTTATTTACTGAATGAAATTTAGCAAAACATGGATGTACACATAAAGGAATATCACATTCTCTGCATATATATCTGGTATCTTTTCGCTTCCGTTTTTCCAATTTTATATTGCTACATACATGACATCTTCGTTGAGTACGCGATCCTTGTGCTTCTGTTTGCGGAACAGGAGACGGAAAATGTCTTTCTGTCAGCCTTAGTGGATTATCAACAGTTGGTGGGCCAGATAGTTTTCGTGTTGATACGTGATGCTTTTTTATTAGCTGCGTAACGACTTGCTGCCGAAAATCAGCGAACGATGGCTTTTTTCCCGTTACAGCTTGGAATAATACATATGCATTATATAATGATAAGTCTAACAGATGGAAAAATAATTTCTTATACCACTTTAGGGATTTGCGGGCGCATGCAACAAAAGTAACTTGCATATCTATTTTATCCACCGCTCCCATTTTCATATTATAATCTAACACACATTGCGGCTTCTCTATAGGTTCCCCGGTTATTCGGTTAACTTTGCCACAATTCTTCAGTGTTCCTGTGGATACGGTTGTCAACATGTGTACGTGTTTCTTATCGCACCACTTTATAGCCAACAAGTCATCGGTACATGCAGTTTCACAATCTCCTCTGTTCAAGCGTCCTGTAAAAATCGGCTTTCCTTTTCTATTGGCCGTTCCACAAGCACCTGTTTTCTTCTGGAATAAATGCTGAAACAACCGTGGACTGCTGTACCAGTTGTCTATGTAAATAATGTGGTTTTTATCATAATAATTCTTCATAAGGGTGTCTACAATTTGACCCGACTTTCCCAGATGCTCCATTTCTTGGTCCAGCTCTGTTTTTGCACCAGTGTAAATAATAAAATTTAGAATATATCCTGTTTCAACGTCACATGCTTCAAATAGCGAATCTACCACTGCTCGAATTTTTTTTAGAGCATAGTCGTTTATAATATTGTTGTTGTCCACAAAATGAAGACCGTACAACAACTGCAAAAAACGGTCCCTGCGAAAGGCGCTGTTGAAAAATGGGGTTGCTATAATTTGATTTGTAGACCAATAGTCTTTCAACGACTGCTTTTCTACAACTCCCATCAAAATGCACAAAGCTAGAAATGAGTATAATTCAGAAACATTTGTATCTTGCCATTCATTGTTAGCATTTCTATTTGCATATCGATTTGTTTCTCGGGCAATAATATCGAGAAGCTCATCATCGAAAAAAAGTGTGAAGAATTCAGATTCCAAAGCTCCTTCTTGCAATGTGAAAGCAGCACTCAAACCTGAATTGATTCGATCAAAATCAAACATTTTGGGAGTAAAATCCTGATTGAATTTCCAAACAAAAGTGGACATTGGTGTCGCAACGTTTTGTGTATTCAGGGGTGGCGCACTTCCATCGCTGCCTCCATCACTATCGACATCACGTTCTCCAGAAACAGCCAGAAACAGGTACATTCTCAGGCTCAGATGACGAATAGTGTTCGCTTTCACTGGGTGCATATTCATCATCAAAATCTTCGCCCGATTCGCTGTCAAATATTCTGTCCGCGATATCGTGTAACTCCGCTTGAGTTAGAAGTCTTCTAGCTTCCAACTGCTCTTTTCATAAAGGTTTTCGGTTCGCCATAATGTTTACCTTTGCAAAGATAAAAAGATACAACGTAAAACACAAAATTACACTTCACGAGGCAGTGAACTCTTACCTATAGCAGGCACAAACAAGAAGAAATCGCAGGTAACGGAAAAAACACAATTCGCATGTAATCAATTGAAACCTAACCTTCAATACAACTCGCTAGTCGGTAGCATGTCGGTAGACTGCTACGACGCAAAAGTGCACGTGGGTACATGCGTAATACTGCGACCCGAGATTTTCCTAACCTCCGTCCGACGCAGCGACGGGCGCTCTCCTAACGCCGTACGGAATGGGTTAGATACATAGAAAATATAGTACTAACGTAGAATGAAATCTAACATTTGAATAATGAAACTGTCATGGCGGCGTCACATGTTAGTTAGCTTCCAAAATAAAAGATGGCGCAGAGAATGCTAACCCTGTCATTTTGGGTTGGTTGGTAATGCAGTTTGGATTTTGCACGTATTTGAAGTTTGGCTTTCGTTACCTTTGGCACAGAATATAAATCTGTCTTTGGTTTCTTAGGTTATCCTCTGAAAATTGTAAATTATAGTATTGCAAGAATTGTGTTTATAATTATTTAGTGCTTAAGAGTTTTCTATTTGTTATTATATTATACTGGGAATACGATGTGTAAGTTTTAAGTTATATTTTATTAAAAACCAAACCTATATCTTTACCAACATTATGTGGAACACTCATACTCATGTTACCTGTATTAATCGATTAGAAACAGTCCACATAAAATGTGCATGTTTGAAATTACATATTATTTAAGTTAAATATAGATAAAAATAATTATGTGTATGATGATAAACTCCAACTAATATTTTATAAAACCTTTGATACTTAGATGCTTACAAAATTTTTAATGGTGGTGAATTGGTTTCTTTATTCAGTTTGAGACATAGAAAATATACTGTTAATATTAAGGTTTGAAAGTTCCAAACTATATGAACTATTGAATTTAACCCAATATTGTACAAATATTCGGTTAGGTGTATACCTATCTCCGTGAGATTATTATAACAGTTCATGCATAATTTTTATATTTTTACAGCTTACTTACCAACTTATCAAGTTTATGAAGCAAATGAATTAAATCGTTGTCGTTTTTACCTACAATTAAATACATAACAAGAAATTGTTTTAATAGTACATGCATAACAACATTCTGTATAAATCAATTAGGATTTCTTGTAGATACAAAATAAACTTAAAATTATTAAAAAATGTTTTATTTCCTTATCGAAACCATTTACTAAGTATATCTTGGCAAATGTCAAAATTTGAAAAATACTATAATATAATAAAATAATAAATAAGAAATTGTCTGTATTTATTTGTGGCATTATAAATGTTATAATTTGGATATTTTGCCATAGTTTGAAGAAAAAAAAACTGGAAAAATAAACCCTTGTACCGATAGGGACAGTCAAGTGTCAATACTGAAAACTTTTGCCTAATAGTGAGATGCCAGAGACATACATCTACATGTATAAGTCTGGTTACGCACTGGAAAAACAACGTTTATGAAACCTCTAGTTTCGTTATCAAAGCAGAAGCGAATTAGAAAAGTACTGAATATTAGTTTTTCGCTACATTTTCTGTTTAACTAAATAATCTGTTCTCAAAAGTATTGACACTTGACTATTCCTATTTGTATAAGGGTTTACTTTTAAAATAATATAATATAGAGGATATAAGTGAGAAGTCGTTTCCATACGATAGATGGCGCTGTAATCAGTTCACAAAGTATAAAGTGTTGCCTACTCATTAGGGGCTAAGTAGTAGTAAGCTTCCAAAACGTTACGTGGCGCTGTTTCGCGGTTTAGTGACAATATTAGGGACATTTCATTCTACGTTAGTACTATATTTTCTATGGTTAGATATCAACGATCCAAGAACATGTGGTTACAGAGGAAGTTATGCGCAACGCAATGCTGACAACTGCATATCACTAAATATCTCCATTAGTGTATAGATCAAAAAGTTTGGTTACTTTTTGAACAGATCTAGTACGTGTAGTCTTAGTGCAT